CTCTATGAAGCAATTCAGATGTATGAAGGTAGGCTTTTAAAAACAGAAATCCTAACTTAGTGGTAAAGTCAGCTGAGCCAGTGGAACACTGGCCATTCAAACATACCCAAGCACCACAGTTAGAATGCTAGGGCTAAAGACTGAGCACTGGATAATATTTGTAGAACATGATGTGATAGTTATCTGGCTGAGAAGTTTTTCCTCTGGTTGAGCATACTGGGTCTGATGTGGCTGGCTGGATACATCTCCTTGCTCTTTCTTATTTCAACACTGCACACACTACTGCAGACACCCGGCGCCAGGTCAAAGGGAAGGCCTTCCTCACCTACTGCTCGCTCAGTGTTCATTTACAATACAAGAGCATGGAGGGAAGAACACTTACTGACTACCCAACACACTGTTCACATAATTCAAGCTAGTTATTCACACAAGCAATGTTTCATTTTACACAAGTGTGTTAGAATGCGTCAAGCAAGCTGAAAACTTTCGTTTGAAATTTTGGACATGTGAAATTCAGAAGTAGTTTAATTTGACCCTGGCCTACCATCAAAGCAGAGGGTCTCACTTTCAAAATTGGCTGTTTGAAGAGTGAAGGAAGGGATAGAGGGAAGATAGGCAATGCTCACCTGTATTACAAACTTTGCAACATATAAAATGGTATTGTCTTCATTAGCAGATGCTTTAAGTGATTTTTTTTTCTGTCTGTGGGGGTAGTTATGTTCATGGTAGGCTACTTGGAAAAGACTGAAAAATGCAAGAGAAAAATGTACCTGTAATTTTGGCAGGCATTTCTAGTTCATATTGATGTTTTACTTTTGTACTTTGCATTTGGTGTGCTCTAAATTTTTATAGTGATATAAACAAATACAACATATGAACTTCTGGAGACATACAAAGACAGCAAGAGATTCCTGGTGTTGGGAGATCCAAATCTGTACCTAGTGTTATGAGTACTAGGGAAATTATATACAGAAAGAACAATCACCTCAAAAACCGAAGTAGTGCTGTTTCTCAGCTGTCTTTTTTTCCTTGAAATACTATCGTTTCCTCTGTTTTTCTTCTCACTACCCATATGCCTTGAAAAGTCAAATTTTGTGACATGCTCACTTCTTCAACACTTGATTTAGTAGAGAGAAGCTCAGAGCTGGGCAATCATTTCCAACTTGGCACATTTTGTTTAACGACAGAAACATTTTGTTTAATATTTTGATACCTGTCTTTTACTTCGAGAGATGATCAATAACTCAGCCTATGTTGTCTCCAGCCTGGTGACATGTAGGTGCTAACCCTCCCACAACACTGTTTGCTATCATCCTGATCTTGAATGAGGGCGGGTGGATGCACATGGAAACTGTGGGACAGAGGACAGACCCAGTCTGCCCCAGGCTCAAACTCACAAACCTGTCCTAACGGGTAGATGTTCTAACCAGCGGGTATGTAATGACGCCTCTCCCCTGCCCCTCACGCTGTCTGAGCACGCCTTCTTTAAAGGGAGGTGAGGCCACCATGCTGTGTTGCATGGACAAGTGTGACACAGAGCTTGATGGGGGTTAACATTTCTCAAATCAGTGGAACATTAGGGAGCACCAACTTTCCAGGGAGAAAGGAAACAACTGTTATAAATGTTATAGAAATACCAAAAGTACATGAAATCAACTACGTATGTTAGAAAAACCACAGGCTTTTGATAAACACCATAGAACAAGATAACATTATGAGTGCTTTGGAATGAGACAACTTCTCACTAAATTTCACTTCCACGATCTCTGCCCAGCTCATTTGTTGTTGCTGACATTTATGGAGTCTGTACCGCTCGATATGAAAACCTTACCCCCCTTCAGTTATTTCACATTCTGTTCTTGCTGTGTTCTTGGAGACTGTGATTATGAAACCAGAAAAGTCAGCATTTGTGCTGCCAGTCACTACCAGAACCAATAACTAGAGACAAGGATCAAATCTTTATAAGTGCTTTATTCAGATGCCAGTGATCTGAGCAGACAGAGGGTTATTTACCTTAAAAACCATCTTAACATCTCATCCAAGCTGACCTTTTTATAAGGAGAAGAAATGAGTAGGTGAGGGTTTGGAAAAAAATTAATCAGATATGAATTGCTGTGTGGAGGTGCTTTTCCTAGTATTTCTTTATCTGCCAACTAACAATTCTTTATCCTCATCCTGGAGTTTCCCTCCCTGGAACACAAAGGTTCAGATACTATCTCCAGTTCTATTGCTTGCAGACCCCCTGGGTCAAAAAGTTTAAATTGCTTTTGGGGTCAGGTAGGTCACATATTTTAGTTACTAGAATAATAGCTTTCTACATGCATTAATCACTTTATGCATTAAGCCTATCACCTATTATTGCAACTGAAATTTTACCTCTTGACTTCCCCTATCAATTAGTTGAAAATGACTTAACCACAAAAGTTTTTCTTCCTGGAAATCTCTCTGTCTATAAGTATCCAGTGCTCTATCAATTGCTTTCTCCTCTCTCTTCTCTCCCCTGGTTCAGAATTCCTTATAGAGGTTGGGAAGCCATGTGTACCTCAGTGTGAGGGCCTTGTCTTTCCCTGTTTGCTGTGATGGATCTGGATCTTAGACCCCAGTGATATAGAAAGATCTGATCAGGTCATGGGGGAGCAGCAGGAAGGGACCATAGGATGAGTTTGCAACAGCAGTCTAGGATGGGGACTGGCTGAGGAGCTGATGCTGATTCCAGAGTGCATAGAATTATGGACAAGAAGATTTGAAATAAAAGAAGGGCTCTGAGGTGGCTGGCTGGGGTCCTCTGGCTCCTGGACTGGCTCTCTCTGGCCCTTGGGCTTGCTTCTGCCTTGAGGATGCCTGGATGATCATGCTGCAGCTGCCTGCATTTCCCAGTGGACCGTATTTTGGACGTGAAGGAACTTCCCTCACAGCCTAGAATCCGGCTGGCCTGGCAGAAGGGGTCAGGGTTATTTTGGGGTGTTCTACAGGGGATGACCTCTGAGGCAGAAACCTGCCATTCTTCCAAAATTGTGTAGCTTTTGTATCTTGTGTTGTTTTAGTTTCTAAACTAATCCTATAGAAATAACATAAAAACTAACAGGGGAAATCATAGCAGAACTCAGGTGTTAAAGAGTTTACCGTTAACTGATGTTTGAGTGACTAATGCATGTGGAAAGTTGCTATTCCAAACCTGTGAGGCTTTTGAATAAAGACTCCTTTCCTTTGTCACCAAAACTCTGCCCCTGGAATTTTGCCCGGAGGGTGACGGTGTGCAGCAGGACCCTGTTTGCTGTTTGGTAACAAATAGGTAGAGGTTGTGGGCATTTCCCAGATTGACACAAGTAGAAAATCTGGCTCTCCCTTGGGTCCAGACTTCCAGGAGGAGTCTGAGCATGTGGTCCTTAGTGGGTGGTGAAGCTGGTGGCTACCAAGAGTTAGGCTCGCCTGGGCACTATGAAGCCAGAGAGCAAAACAGGTCTTGCACTGACCTATCTAGTGTTTCTATATTTGCCCTTGGTTACCCCTTGATCATTTGCTAACACTCCCCCAAAGAGCCCAGCCCTTGTCATAGCTTTGTGTAGATTTTTGTGGGAATAGCCTTAAGACTTCACTTTGATCTGAGTTTAAAGTAAATAGCACTACCCTGCCCCCAGCCTTGGGGCCAGTATACAGACTATAATAGTTACTACAAGAAGTAATTCTGGGGAACAGTGAGATGTTCAGCTGCCTGCACTGCAGTGAATGTTTACTTCTTATTTCTCTTTTTGGAATACCTGGGTTTTAATTATATTGAGTGTTTTAGGCCACTGAAGCTGCAATAACAAAATACCATAGACTGGGTGGCTTACATGACAGTAATTTATTCTCTCACAACTCTGGAGACTGCCAAGACCAAGAGCAAGGTGCCAGCATGGTCAGTTTCTGGTGAGGTCTCTCTTCCTGGCTTGCAGGTGGCCACATTCTCCCTGTGTTCTTACAGGGTAAGAGAGAGGAGAGAAGCAAGCTCTCTGGAATCTCTTCTTATAAGGGCACTAATTCCATCATGAGGGTTCCACCCTCACAAACTAATCTAAACCGAATTGCTACCGGAGGTGCCACCTCCAAATACCACCACATTGAATTTGGGGGGACACAATTCAGTCCATAGCATTCAGTAAGGCAGAAGTTTCATATACTCAAATTCACATTTCACATCTTAATATATTTTCAATATACTGCATAAGTTCAAATGTATCTATCATTATCGACCTGGGGAAGAAACTATTAATAACTCATGAATTAAGGCTTAGTTCACATTTTCCCTCAGCAACATGATAACTTATTAGCCAAAGTCAAACTCTTCGTGGCTTATGGGATATATAAGTGTTGATCCAGGTGAGGGTCTGCTTTGGAATTCAGTATTGGGAATTTTTTTCTCTTTTGTTTTCTAAGATTCTACATATAAGCATAACCATGTGGTACTCTCTTACCTTTCTGACTTACTTAACTTAGCATTATATCCTCCAGGTCCATCCACATTGTCACAATGACAGAATTTTATTCTCTTTACTGGCTGAGTAATATTCCATTTCATATGTATAGTACATCTTCTCTATCTGTTTATTCATCAATGGACACCTAGGTTTATTCCATATCTTGGCTATTTTAAATAATTTTGAAATCAACACAGGGATGTGTGTATCTTTTTAAATTAGTATTTTGGTATTCTTGGAATAAATACCCAAAAGTGAAATAGCTGGATCATAACATCATTGTATTTTAAATTTTTGGAGGACGACTCTTTGTATTGTTTTCCATAGTGGCATTTATTATTGTAAAATTCAAACATAATCTTTATCTGTCCATAATAAAATAAGTAAACATAAACAAACAAGGGAACAAAATACTCATAACTAATTGCTTTGGCAGTGCACAGTTCATGAATTTGCGATTGCTATTATTATTATTATTATTATTATTTATCATCACTATGAGCCTTTATTTGCTCTTTAACATTTACTCATTCACTTATTCAGCAAATGAATGACATGCCAGGCAAGTATTTGGCACTGTTGATAGAGCGAAGAACAAAACTGCTTCATGAAACTTATACTCCAAGAAGGGAAACTGACCATAAATGAGGTAAGCAAGCAAACTGTAAATGCTAAGCAAAATACATACATATATACATACATACATACATACATACATACATAAATCAGGGAAGGGGTACAGGAAGTAGGGGGATTAAGAGTAGGTATACTTTGCAATTTTGGATAATTGGCTATGGAAGCCTCAGGGCAAAGTTACAGAAGCAAGATACAGATCAAGGGCATGCTGTGAATGAGTATCTGTGGGGATAACGATCTTGGAAAAGGAAATTGCCAGTACAAAAGCTTTTGAATGTGCCCCATGCTGCTGCTGCAGGGGGTGGAGGAAATGAGCTTCAAGGTAAGGGAGGAGTTAGGCAGAGTACTGACCATGAAACCTGAATTTTGTCCATTGTTAAAAATTACAGTTTTTATTTTTTGCAGGCTTTTGTAGATAAGGTTCAGTATAATTAAACATATGAGTAATTGACAAATTGTCTCCTCAGTGTTCATTAAAGTTCAAGAACCAAGAGAGAAATATTACTAGAATATAAAATACATACCAAATCTATGCATGAAAATACCTGAAAGACAATATAGCAAAACGTTGGCTGTGATTGTTTTGGTGGGCAGGAAGTTATAAAAAGAAATATTAAAAAAGAAACACTAATTTTCTTTATTTCAGAACTTTATTTTAATGAGTTATCACTGCTTTTATTATCTCAAAGTAATACTCAAAATAGTCAAATGTTATAGTTCCTCAAAATATTAATGAGGAATTTTAAACTAACCAAAGAAATAAGACTTTGATATGAACCTCCATTATAAACAGACTGAAACTCTATTAGTTGTACTTCAAAGGATAAATATTAATATTATTCTACCCACTCTGTCAATTGTAAGTACTAATTAACCATTCAGGTTATTTTCTCAAATAATATTTAGCAGGTATTTACACTGAAGATAAATAGGTTACTGGAAAAGTAGTTCGGAGTTCTGGAAGTCTTTAAATTCTATAAAACCCATTTTTCCTTATTTTTTAAAAACACCATGCAGTCAAATTTCTTGCAAATCCTTTGAACCTTGTTAATATAGTCAGAACAAATGAAAGGAACATCAACATGTACTTTCAGAAACAAAGAAAGGAACAAATTTAACTTCAGAAACAAAGAAAGGAACAAATTTAACTTCAGAAACAAGCTGCAGTTAAATCTTACACTAAAGAGATTTTCATATAGAAGATGTGCCTGTATATATACACACACCGAGTATATATTTCAACATGACAATATCTGAAGTATTTTCAGAGAGAATAAAATGTCGCTTTCTCTAAAATTTATGAGATTAGCTAAAGACTTGTTACCGGCCTCCATTATTTACTCCTATTCCCTGCCTCTAAGATCATTCTGCTGTAAGTTCTCATTCAAAGTCTTTTAGGCAACATTCACACAGGCAGAATGGAAATGCTATCCCTGAAGGTCAACAGCCTTCAGCTTGATGGACTAGAGAAGTGCGTTTATGTGCATTTTAATGCTGACGTTGCAAATCATATTAAAATTACAATCCAAGGCTCAATTTTCAGAGCTGTAAAGTGGAGTAACACCTGTCCTTGGTGCACAGTGGGTTGCTGTAAGACTTAAATGAGATAAGTGAAACCACTATCAAAATATAAAGCAGATATAGTTTCCTTATTGTACAATGGGATACAAGCTCTCTCTGGAAAAAGTCCAACAATTGTTAATATAACAAGAAGAATTTGTGCACCATCAATGTCATGTGCATGACAGTGACAACTTCACTGTACTTAGTCAGTGGGGGTGGTAGACACCATTGACTGAGCATGCGTGCTGTGGAGCTGTCTGTCGCATTCAAAATGACTGAGTGAGTAGAGCAATGACTCTGCATCAGATTTTGCATAAGCTTGCACATTCCTTCATGGAAACTATTTGGATGATTCAGAAAGCTGCATCCAAGGGCAACAAGTGATTGCCCTCATCACAAAATCGTACCCACTCATGCATCACGTCTCATGCAGTGTTTTCGGTGAAACATCAAATCACCCAGGTGACTCAGGCCCCCTACAGCTCAGATTTGGTGCCCTGCAACTTCTGGCTTTTCTCAGAACTAAAATCACCTTTCAAAGGGAAGAGATTTCAGACCGTTGATGAGATTTAGGAAAATAGGACAGGGTAGCTGATGGTGATTGAGAGAACTGTGTGAGGTTCCAAGGTGCCTGTTTTGAAGGGGATGGAGGTGTCAATGTCCTATGGACAATGTTTCTTGTATCTTCTTTAATAAATGTCTCTCTTTTTCATATTACATGGCAGGCTGGATACTGTGAGCTAGCAGTACTAATATTAAGAGTAAATGCAGTTTTGGAGATATAAGATGGTGGAGGGGATAGTGGTAGATACACTAACCTCCTCCCGGGACCAATCTGGAATTACAACTAAATTTAGAGAAAGTCTCCTGGATAAATTACAGAACACTAGCTGGGGAGAAGCCTTATATCCACAGACAAAGAGAAGAAACCACTTCACAACAGCGTGATTGGTACAGAGTATGGAGGAGGGCTCTTACAAGAGGGCTGGCTGGGCTCCCTTGGGTTGCCGTTGAAGATCCAGAGAGATATGTCAGTGGCTGGGTGGTTCCCCTAAAAAGTGTGGGGCCTAAATCCCAAGCTTGGCTCCCCATCCTATAGCACCAGAGCCAGAAAGGAAACCAGGTAATACCCTGGTGTGAAAAGCAACGGGGTTTCTGTTTGCCAGGGAGAGAAGGCTAGAAATGCAGAGAGCCTCTTAAAGGGGAAATACACATGATTTCATTTGTAGCCACTTACCTTGGGCTCTAGCAGAAGGAGAGCAGAGTGGACTGGAGATGCTTGAGGATAGGCTGGGTTTGGTGGCTCTTGGGAGAGAACTGAAGGAATGGCCACCAGGATCCCTGTGCTTTTATTCCCCACACTGCATGAGCCATCTTTCTCAGGAAGAGCGTTCCCCTCCAAGTGGCATCAGACTGAGGGAAAGCAAGAACTCCATCCACAGGAATTACTCTGCTCCACCCTGTGGAGTTTAAGACAGACCGCTGATTACATCTTGATTCCTTTAACAACAGATCAGTTTAATAGCTGATTAGTTTAGCAACTAAGGCAGAAAATACAAAGAATCAGCCAAAATGGGAAGACAAAGATACAGACCCAAAATGAAATAACACAAGAATTCTCCAAAAGAACTAGATGAAATGGAGGCAAGCTATTTATCATTTAGACAGTTTAGAGTAGTAATTATAAGGATACTCAACAGCATGAAAAAAGACATAGAAACCATAAAACAGGAGGAATCAGAAGTAAAGAATGCAATATCTGAAATAAATAATACTGGAAGGAATAAACAGTAGGTTAGATGAAACAAAGGATTGCATCAGGTATTTGGAAGACAAGGTAGAAAAAACCACCCAGGCAGAGCAGCAAAAAGAAAAAGAATTTTAAAAACTGAGGAAAGTTTAAGAAACATGTTGGACAACATGAAGCAGAACAACATCTACTCGTGGGAATAGTGTGATGTGGATGACAGATGGGAGAGGAGACCAAGAAAAGGATTGGGAACCTATCTGAAGAAATAATGACTGAAAACTCCCCTAATCTGGTGAACAAAAAAGACATACAACTCCAAGAAGCTCAGAGTGTCCCAAACAAAATGGACCCAGAGAGACACATCATAATTAAAATGATAAGGCATAAAGACAAGGAGAGAATCTTAAAAGCTGCAAGAGAAATGCAGGCAGTTACTTACAAGGGAGCAGCAAGTAGATTGTCATCTGATTACTCATTAGAAACATTTCAGGCCAGAAAGGAGTGATGTGAAATATTCAAGGTGATGAAAAACAAGGGCCTACAACCAAGGCTACTTTACCCAGCAAGGCTATCATTTAAAATGGAAGGAGAAATAAGGAGCTTCCCAGACAATAAAAAGCTAAAGGAGTTTGTTAATACCAAACCAGTACTGCAAAAAATGTTAAAGGGTTTGCTTTAATAATAATAATAATAATAATACAGAAAAACAGTCTGACAATAAATTGGCACTGTATACATATCTATCAGTCATCACCTTAAATATAAATGGCTTAAACACTCCAGCCAAAAGAAATCAGGTAGCTGAATGGATAAGAAAATAAGACCCATATACATGCTGCCCCCCAGAGACTCATCTCAGATAGAAAGATACACACAGGCTAAAAGTAAGGGGATGGAAAAAGATGTTTCATGCAAATGGAAAAGAAAAAAAGTGGGGGTAGCAGCATTTATTTATGACAATATGGACTTTAAAAGCAAGATTATAGTAAGAGACAAAGAAGAACACTACATAATGATAAAGGGAGCAATCCAACAACAGGAAATAACCCTAATAAACATTTAAATATGTAAAGCGAATCTTGATGAACATAGAAGGAGATATCAACAGAAATACAGTTATAGTTGGGGACTTTAACACTCCATTGACTTCAAGAGATAAACATTCCAGGCAGAAAATCAACATGGAGTAGTAGTGGTACATTAAACATTAATAAATATGCAACTGTCAAAGCAAATTATATTTTAGAAACCTTAAGAATAGATTTATATTAATGAAATCATTTTTTAAATAAATCTTTTATTTTATTTTATTTTTTTGTTTTTTTTAATTTATTTTTCATTGATTATGCTGTTACAGTTGTTCTATTCCCCCCTTCATTCCCCTCCACCCTACCCCCCAACCCCACCATTACCCCCCTTTAGTTTATGACCATGTGTCTCAAGTTCTTTAGATTCTATATTTCCCATACTATTCTAGCCCCCCCCATCTATTTTCTATCTACTGTCTATGCTACTTATTTTCTGTACCTTCTCCCCCCCTTCTCCTCCTCCCACTCCCCTGTTGCTAACCCTCCTTGAGATCTTCATTTCTATGTTTCCACTCCTGATCTAGCTGTCCTTTTAGTTTGCTTTTGTTTTAGGTGTGGTTGTTAATAACTGTGAGTTTGTTGTCCTTTCACTGTTCATGTTTTTTTTTTAACTTCTTTTTCTTAGATAAGTCCCTTTAACATTTCATATAATAAGGGCTTGGTGATAATGAACTCCTTGATCAATGGAGTGGACCAGAAGAAAGCAAATAATGGCCAAACAGAAAAGAGTCAAGAAGCAAGAATTCAAAGAAATGAGGAGAGTCTTAGGAACCTCCAGAACATCTTTAAACGCTCCAACATCCGAATTATAGGGGCACCAGAAGGGGGAAAGGAACAGCCACCAGTGGAAAACTTATTTGAACAAATAATAAAGGAGAATTTCCCCAATCTGGCAAAGGAAATAGACTTCCAGGAAATCCAGGAAGCTCAGAGAATCCCAAAGAAGTTGGACCCAAGAATAAACACACCAAGGCACATCATAATTACATTAGCTAAAATAAATCTTTTATTTTAGAATAATTTACAAAAAGTACAGACAGTTTTCAAATACCCTTCACTCAGTTTCTCCTAATGTTAACATCTTGCATGATGGTAGAACATCTGTCAAAATGAAGAAACTGACATTGGTGTATTGCTATTAATGAAACTGTACAGCTTTTTTTAAAATTTCACCAGTTTTTTCCACTAATGATCTTTTTCTCTTCCAGGATCCCTCGAGGATAGTACATTACATTTCATTGTCATGTATTTTTAGTCTCCTTGATCTGTGACAGTTTCTGAGACTCTCCTCATTTTTCATGACCTTGACAGTTTTAAAGACTGCTGGTTGAGTATTTTGTGGAATATTTCTCAATTTGAATTTGTCTGAAATGTCATTTTCATTGCACCATAACAAGGGAAACACGATATCAAAGTGACTATCACCAGCCTTGATCTTTTGGTTAAAGTAATGTATACCAGGTTAATGTAGTTATTTTTAATTAAAAGAAAACTACCAATACAACCTCCAGATATAGAAAACTTAGATATTTACAAATATGAACCTCAAAGTATTAGATTTTCATTATGACAACTGCATAAAACATTTAAAAATGACTATATATTTATTCCAGTAGTAGTTCTTTCTCTCCTTTAAGTGAATTATTAAATGTATTACTTATTAACGTATTTGGGCAGTGAATTCATAGCAATGCATATTAAAATTATTTCTGCATTTTCTTAGTCATATTAAAGTAAAAAGCTTTAAACATAAACTACATACAAATAAAAATATCAAATCATATTTACAATAGTGTTGAAGAAACATAACAATCTCAAAGCTGTAGCAAGTCACTTTAGTTGTAATCATTTATTATGTATAACTATCTTTTCCTTTTCTAACTACAACATTTAAAAATATTGTTGACATTGCACCATAATCTATAGGATATACATTCTAGAATGGCATCTACATATAGCAATGTAATACTAAAAATTTAGTCCAGCATGTTAATTTTATTTTATTATAATTAAATTATAATAAATCATAAATAAAATATATTTATTATAATTATAATTATAAAATTTTATTTTATTTTATTGATTCCTTCTGTGGTCGGTAAGTACTTTGTGGGGAGATATTATGAAGTTATGTATGTAGATAGCCTATTCCTCACCAAACTCTCACCCAGTAGTTCTTAGCATCCATTGATAGTTTTTTTCTTTTTTTTTTTATTACCAGGGCTTTTTTTTCCCTCAATAATTTTATTTAGTGATAGTTTTTTCATGAATCAGTCATTACTATAATGTTTTATAAATACTGATTTTTCTCATTCCATCATTCTTTCTGCTTTCATTGTTTGGTATCTCACCTTAAGGAAGAGACTTTCCTTCTCATTTGTTCATTCATTTATTTTTAAAATTAATTTACTTCGTATAGACTGGTGGATTCTTATTTGATTCGATGATATATAATTCGTTACTGTCATTATTTGTTTTGATGTTAAAATTGTCCCAGGTTTGGCCAATGAGAAACCTTGAAACGACATTCTGTTTCCTTTGACATGGCCCCAGCCTTCTTTGAGAAAAAACTCCTTCTGATGCCGGATGTTTCAGGCTAATCTTTTATTTTTTGTTTTCCAACCCTGGAAGCAGCCACTTCTCCAAGGAGCACTTGCTTCTTTTAGTGGAGAATAATATCTAGAAATTAATATTCAGGCACTAGGTGTGCTCATTGCTACTGGCATGTCATTGGTTCTAGACCCTTTTAGCAGACAGAGCTAGGGTGTGTGTGTGTGTGTGTGTGTGTGTGTGTGTGTGTGTGTGTGTGTGTTACAGGTTAGATTCTCTGAGAATTAAACCCTCAGACAGACATGAGTGAGCACACAGTTTATTAGGAAGTATCTAGTGTTGAAGTCCTATGGAATGCAAGGAAAGGGAGCAGAATTGGGCAAAGGGAGAAGATAAGTTCTACTGTGGTCTCTACACAGGCCCCAGCTGGTCCCTGGGTAGCTCTGATGCTGGGTGGCTCTTCAGAGTTGTTTGGAGCTGAGGTGAAAGTTTCAAAGGCCTTTTAACCCTGCATCGATCATTCATTGAACATGGGTCTCTAAGAAAAAGGGTCATGAGTTTTCACAAGATGGATCTCCTCAGCTGAGAAAATTCCACACAGGGCTAACAGCTGGATGCTGTTAATCAACAGCTTTCCAGAATTTTTGGTAATAAACCCTCCAGTCTTGAAAAGAGTCTGGGCAGCATAGTGTTCACAACCAATCCACATAGATGCTTATCTCTGTCTATAGATCTGTCATCCATCCATCCTTCCTTCCATCCACCCATGGGTCTACCTACATGCTGTATAAAAAACAGGAATTTGTAGTGATACTTCCAACTCCAATTCAGCACAAGTTCATTTCATAATTCCTCCTTTTTATATCTGTAGCTCCTATTTATGATAGTGAGAAACCTGGCTCCCACTATATATTTAGATTCAATCCTAGAATGCACTGGAAGTAGTTTTATTTTTTATTTTTATTTTATTTTTAATATTTTATTTATTTATTTTTAGAGAGAGGGGAAGGGAAGGAGAAAGAGTGGGAGAGAAACATCAATGTGTGGTTGCCTCTCATGTGTCCCCTATTGGGAACCTGGCCTGCAGCCCAGGCGTGTGCCCTGACTGAGAATCGAACCAGCAACCCTTTGCTTTACAGGCCCGTGCTCAATCCACTGAGCTACACCAGCCAGGGCTGGAAGTAGTTTTAGAATCGTTCAGCCATTCCACTGCACAAACAAACCTACTAAGCAGAATTCCATGTGCGTTTAGATTCCTTTTTGTCTTTAAGAGTGTAGAATTGAAACACTGTGTTCAAAAGTTACTTGGATCGGCTCTTCCTATGCCAGTGTGATTTGTTATTGATTTCAAATGTAATTATGTTTATTTGTGTGCTTTCCTTTTTTAGGGATTTTCCCCATTCGTGTTGATTTTATTGTTATTATTTTCGAGGCAGTGACAAATTTACATTGGTTCAAATATCTAAACCATATAAAAAACATACTAAAAAAAGTGACAGTAACTCGTCCCTTCCATCCCTTCTCATCCCTTCTATCTCATTCCAGTAGTAACTAATATTATTCATTCCCAGTATGTCTTTTCTATATTTATTTCTGTGAAAATAAGTAGATTCTTATGTAAGTTTAAATTTTCTTTCTTTAGTACATAAAATGTGCTATACTATAAACATTGTTATTTTTACACTTTTCTTTGTTCACTGAACAATATATCCTCAAAATCACTCTTTAAAGATCTTATTTACTTACTTACTTACTTATTTTTACACCTATCTAGTTCACTGTTCTGTAGATAGACCATAGTTTGTCTCACCAGTCCTCTGTTTGGGCATTTGGATATCTCTAATATTTTTCAATTACAAGCAAGGCTGCAAAAATAAGCTTGTGCATATGCAGCCTCATAGTGTGGGAGCCTTCTGAGATATTGAAATAATATCTTTTCTCTTTATTTCCCCCTCTGTTATCTTTATTGTATTATTATATTATCATTCATTGATCAGTCCTGGGCTGGATGACAGACTCAAGTGGCAATGCATAGTCATGGAACTTCCATTTCCAAGAGACAGTTCACTGGGGAAAATTGATTGTTGGTGGAATACTTAGCCGCCAACCATATGTCAATAAACTGTAGCATATTAATGATATAATGTTCTATTGTATTTACTATTTACATTAATATTACTTAAATATTTTAATGTATTTATTATTAAAATGTGTTTATTATTGCACCAAGGAGCAGTCATTTTAATTTTTATGTTTGCAAGTGTGGCCTTGAGCAAGTCACTCAACCTATCTGTGCCTCAGTTTCCTCATCTGCAAAATGGAAATAATAATTTTATATTTTTATTAGACTGTTAGGCATCTTAAACATAACACATTCAAACCCAGAATTCCTGATCCCCACCTACTCCCACTCCCCTGCCAAAGCTGCCCCCTCCTCCATTTCCCCACCTCAGTGAATGGCAATTACATCAATAGCTCAGGCTAAGAGCCCTGGAATCATCAGACTCCTCTCTTTCTCCCACACCCCACATCTACTTCACCCCCAAATCCTTGGCTATTGCAGTCATCTTCTCACTGCCCTTACTGCTTTTGCTTTTGCTGCTCTACAGTGTATTCTCCACAAACAACCACAATCATGCTTTTAAAAACAAATCTTTTAATTAGCATCTCTCTCTTCTCATAACCATCAAATGACTTCTGGTCTCACTCAGAATAAAGGCCAGAAAGTTGGTAATGGCCCTACCTGGTCTGCACTTTTTCATGTTCTGACCCATCTCCTACCCCACTTGCTTGTCTACTACCCTGCAGCCATGCAGGCCTCAGGCGCTGTTCCTGAACTGAACACTCTTGTGCCTCAGGGTCTTTGCACCAGTTTTCACTCTGCTTATTCCTATGACTCACTTACTTACCTCCTTCAGCAATTAACTCAAAACCTTCCACGACTTCCCTGTTCAGAATGGCAAGCCTTGAACTCAACATTCTATACACTTTTTCTGCTTTATTGTTCTCCATAGCATTTATCATTAGGCACATTGTATAATTTGTTTGTTTATGTTTTATTGCCTGACTCCTTCTTCATCTTCCTGTCTTCCCTCCACCTTCTATACGTTGAATGTAAGTTCCTTGGGGCAAGTACTTTTGTTTTCTTCACTGCTATATTCTTAGCCACTAGAAAGTGCTTACTACATAGAAGATACCCAATACTTCTGCATGTGTGTTGGTGCCCCCAAGACCACTCCCAGGTATAGGTATTCACTAGGAAGACTCACAGAACTCAGCACATAGTTGTACTCAAAGCTATGATTGCTTACAGTGAAAGGTACTGGGCTCAATCAGCAAAGGCAAAAGGCATGGGGGTGGGGGTAAAGTCTAGGGAAACCAGATACAAGCTCCCAGAGTCCTCTTCCTGGGTGTCACACAGGACACCATTAATGCATCCAGCAGTGAGTTGTGACAGTCCAGGTACAATGTCATGTGCCAGGAAATTTCATCAGAGACTTGGTACCCAGGGTTCTTATTGCAGGTTGGTGACATGGGCATCTCTGCCTAGCGGGTACCAAAATTTCAGACACCCCAACAGAAAGCAGGTGTTTAGCATAAACCATATTGTTCATGTAAACAGTTAGGTACACAATTCTTATCAGTCCGGGAACAGTAGGAACCTTCCCCAAATCCCAGTTCCCAGATGCTGGGCAAGGGCCAATGCTGCAAGCAAGCCTTTCTAAAGACAGCGATTCTAGGCCTGCTACTCTCTTTTCTACACGGCATGTCTGAATAATTTGTCACTTTTTCATGACAAAATGAATCACTTTGCAGCTAAAGATAAGATTAATTAAAGAAAATGGACTTTGTTTTCTGTACATTGGAATCCTGCTGCATAACTTTTGACGTTATTTTCACACATCAACACAGTTTGTATATTTTCCAAGTATCCTGGCATGGAAAGAAGCTGTTGTTAGAACCCCACACGTTGCTTGGATTCTACACATTCTTAGAATCTGCTTCTGAAGAAACTTCAAAGAAGCAAAATCTAGATGAAATGTGTGTCTATGAAAGGGTGTCTAATGA